GAAAGCCACGCTCGACGTGCAAATAAGTGTTTAGGAGCTTGAGATCGTCGCAAAATTGTTAGAGCAGGTACAATAAGACAACTTGTCTAATAGTCAAGACAATTCAGCAAAGTCTTAGATGGAACAGAGAGAAAACAGCAGAGAGAACGAGAATAGGAGATGGTCGATGCGCATCCGTCGACCGGCTGCTCACGGCCTCCAAGCTTGGCACGCGTGGGGGTTGGAATCAATGTCCGGTTGTTGTTTTTTTTTGAGGGACGAGACAAGATGAGCAGTGGCAGGTCCCACATAATTAAAAAATATTATTAAAATTTAGAAAGAGCCTTAGCTATTGTCTGAGTTGGCTTGGTATTCATGATATGGCATGACTAATAGACAAATTTATTGGCTTGCTCTTAGTGTGATACAAGATATGCTTATTTCTAGAGGTGGCTAGCATTATAGGAGCATGTCCATCCAACATAACCTATTTGACTTCCTCACCAGCAGTGGCGGAGCTAGAGAGGCTACAAACAAAGATGTAGACTAGACAAGGGGTGTTAAGTTGATTGAAAAAATAGATTGGATTTTAATTTTTAGGACTACCTTTCTTTTATGGATTATACGAGATTCAAAAGGCAATGTCAGTGCTGCGGCCTCGCAAGCACCGGCCCTGGCTCCGCTCCTACTCACAAGGACAAGAAAAATCTTGCTTGGGCATGTCACGATACGCTCTTACTAGGTATCAAAACAGATAAGATGGCTCCACATACTCGAACAAGGAGGCAACATTGTTGCTAGCTAAGAAACCAAGTGGTCCCTGGTCTTTAGACTCTATTTGCTGGTGCTTTCGTGGTAAACATGGCTTATTACTGTTGATTTCTCTTATTTTAATAATAAAAACATGCAACGGCACAGTCACAAAAAAAAATGAGTTGCCTTTACTTGGCTATGTGTGGCTACGTGATATAGACGGTGAGACACATGTATTCCAAGAAAATGTCAAAAAAAATGTTCACTTTACTTGGCTAGGTGTGCTTACGTGATATATTTCATCCGTTCTAAAGTGTAAGACGTTTTTTTTCTTAGACATGTAGCTTTTGCTATATACTTGCAGAAGTCGAAACGTGTTACGATTTGAAACGGGACGGAGCAAGCACTGTTTATTGACGTCAGTTGGGCCATACATACACGAAAAACACGTACGGGAACCAAACTCCAATTCTTCAACCATTTCTCTTTGCAGTCGTCGCAGGCAGGCGCAGTCCATCCAGGCAACCCTGCTCAGCCTCCAGCTGATCAACGAACTTGTCCATCCACGCCACAGCGACAACAGCATCGGAGAAGGTGACACGGCACAAATGGTGCGACTGACTTCGGCTGGTCACTCCGCAGCCACCAGCTTCGATTCCTCCGGCGGCTTTCGACTACTCTCCCTCCTCCCGGCCGCGCGTACAGCACGTAGGTACCATCAGGCACCGGCACGCGATGTGATGCGGTTGCGGTGGCGTCCTTAGCTTCAGCGGGAGGAAGAAAAGGCCGGCACGAGTACGACCATATCGCCGTCGTCTCGGAGAAACCCGGCCGGCTGCTATCGGTGCTCACCCCCGGCCCGGCCCGCGTCATCCTTTGGGCTCCATCGGTCCGCCACCATGGTCGAGTCATTTCCTTTAATTTCCACTGTCTGTAAGCATCGGCAAATCGCACTCATTGACGCTGGGTTGACGTCCAAACCGTCTACTCTTGGACGATGTTCCTATCTCGCCTGCCTTGCATCCATCAATTTCACGTCACGTCGTTGAACGACGATGCATGGCTGCTATACGCAAAGTCTCTCCGTTTGATGGCCTCCTGCTACTGAAACTTGCACCCATCAATCAGAGGAAGTTTCGGCAGCGGCAATTGCACGGAGGATATGACTTTCGGAATGCAGTGGCCACTTTTTTCCAATAGCAGATGAGATGAGCCCACCAAATCCTGAAAATTTCCATCGGTTTGCACATTTGGAGGTGACTAACATAGGGTCATAGTCAAATAATCGTAGGAGATTTTGCTAACCTGTACCATACAATTATATAAATTATTACCACTCATCTAGCTGCCTATATCAGCGAGCTACATCATCTACTAACATTAAAAAAACATTTTGATAATCTATCTCTTCATGCAAACTAAGCTATCCACATCAGTCGGGAACATCATCCACTAACATATAGTTATCCACATCTACGAGCCACATCATCCACACTAACATTCATTAAAGATAATCTCTCTCCATAGAATCATACTAATGAGCGATATAAGCCAATTATTATATATAGGCCATCCAATTTCCATTCAGGCCTTTGTCATCCACAGTGCCCGCAGCAATATGGAAACCTTGCTCAAAGGTACTGCAGGTCCAAGATATCCACACGCATTCTGCAAAAGCAAAACTATTGTTCAGTACTAGTTTATTTGTTTTTTTTTCAAACCGGAGGTATCCCCCATTTCCATTAGAAGTAACCGAAATACAAAGTTTGATAGACTGTTTCAGAAGATATACAGGAGAAAGACATGTAACACCGGCAAACTTACAAAATCTACCTAGGACACGCAGCTTCCAACATGTAAAGAAGCAGAAAACAATAGACACCCCAAGGGCTAGCAGTCTAGAAGTTTGGCTCATCACAGAGTCAATAGCCATAACAGGAACAGACTGACACATTCAGACATAGCCCCGTTCGGCTGGGGCTGGCTGGCTGGGCTGGCTGGCTAGCCCCCTCACATGGGCGCTATTTACATGAACCAGCCAGCAGTACTTCTCTCTCACATAAACGAACCAGCACTATTTACATGAACCAGTAGCTGATCATTTATGCGCGAGCTTCAGTTCTGCTTGTCATCATCAGACCCGTCCTTCAGGAGTAGCCTTCCACCCTTCTCCATCTTCTTGCAATCTGCAGCATCGTGTTTGCTCCGGCGATCAGGGCTTCTTTATCAATCTCCATGAACAAACCTGCCCAGTAATCCATGAGCACACATGCATAGCATATAATGGAGGCAGGATTTTTTAACAATTTGCCTTCAAAACAAGCTTTGTTGCGAGTCTTCCAAATAGCCCAGCAAATAGCTGCTATTCCAAGAGTATGAAACTGTTTACCAAAAGGAAGCCATTTTTCACACCAAAGCCAACATTGTCCTAAAGATCTAGGAACATTGTTTGCCCCAATACACTTTGCAACTATTGCCCAAACAGCTTTGGCAGTGCTGCATTTAAAAAACAGATGAGAAAGGTTTTCACTTTGATCACAGAAGTAACAAGTAGGATCACCAACCCATCTTCTTTTCAGCAAGTTATCCTTAGTTAAGATTGCATTATTCATAATCAGCCACAGAAAGATTTTGATTTTAGCAAGTACTTTCCCTTTCCAAATTTTCTTATGGTAAGGGCCTGAGTCATTCAGAATCTTCTGCTTGTCATCATCAGAGCTCCCGCTCTGCCAAATTTCCATGAGACTGTATCTTCTTCAGAGTTGAAGTTAATGTCTTTCATATCATTCAGAATCTTCTGCCAGTCCAGAAGCAAGCTGTCAGTTAACCATCGAGTAAAAGAAATCCTCTGAGTATCATTATGCGCCTGATGTACAGTTACATTTGGTTGTTCACAAATCTTAAAAAGATCAGAGTATAAGACACAAAGGGGTTTCTCATACAGCCATGAATCCTTCCAGAAAAGTGTATTCTTACCATTTTTAACCAAGATTTTTCTACCTTGTAAATAGATGTCTTCTACTTTCAACAAATCAGCCCATATGGCTGAATCAGATTGCCTATGTTTCACACTGCAGATTGAGCCATTTTTTAAGTGTACTAGTTTATTTGTTGAGAACAACGATATGAGAACAGGGCAATCCGACTAATGAAAATCAGGTGTCTGCTGTCTGCTCCGCCATTGGGCCATGGCATATTATCAAATTAAAATTCAGTAAAGTTGGCAAGGCACCAAACTAACAGATAAATACATAGAAATGATGGCATAACAATGTGAAAAGAGATAAAATGTTTGCAGTTGAAGTAATACTAATCACCAAGCTACATGGTACAGACCTTGAATAAAAAGTTTCAGCACAATATCACCGTCATCGGTAAAAGGATTAGCTCTACTTTATGTGTTACACCAGTCTCTACTATGTACATAAACCTTTGATGAATAGAAATTTCTAAAAGACAACTGAAAGTTGGAACTCCAAATTTCAGAAACTCAATTGGTACCTAAAGTAGATACATTAGCAATTGACAAACAAACAAGAACAATCATAGAAAACAGATAACTATGACGCCAGTATGCAGATATGCAGTTCATGATTATGTGGATAGAATTTAGATCTACCCAATTCAAAAACAAGTATACAAGAATGCACCATGAATATGTACCTAGAAAGCTAAAATAACTTATAATTTGGAATAGAGGGAGTGGGTAGGTGATCGAATAGCTAAGATAATAAACTGAATTTAATCAACTCACTAGTAATTATACACTTTCTGATTACAAGGAAAACGAAATGGAGAAAACAAGGAATCTTGTCTCTATTCATGCCTAAGATTCACAGAAAAAACTAGTTGCAGAAGCTGTAATTCTACATGTTTCTGCCTCACATGATACTCGCCTATGTCAAGCCAAATCCTGCAGTGTGTCCAATTACATAAAGCTGATTAATGAGTAACAGATGCAGCTTCCAGGTCTTCTAATTTGGTGAATCTTAAAATTACTCGTGACCCGTGAGGCCGTGAGCTGCTTAAAATCATGCAGCCAAAATGACCCATTCAGGTCAGTAGGTCCTCTTGACCCTGTATCATTACATGTCTACCTAACCATCATGCTTCTGTCATCTTAAAGCTTTGTATTTCTCTATAATTCTGTGAGCTTCATTCTACAAAACATTTCAACCAATTCCAGAAACTCTAGCAGTATGGGACTGCAGATGTGCACATAGCACATATAAAAGGGATTCAGGCCTCAAATATCAATCAATGGCCTCTTAGCCTTTTTTTCTAAACCTTCTTCCCTTATTCTTTGGCTTGAAATCTTCTGGGCCTATTAACTCTGAAGCACTTGAATTCATATCTTCAGTGAGCTTTTGTCCTAGTTCAAACTGTCCAGCCTTTTTCAAGTTGCTGATCAATGCACGGTAAACATAAACTGAAGGTTGGTGCGACTTTTTCATCTTCTGAAACATTTCCAGGGCATCAGTAATATGGCCAGACCGTCCAAAACTATCAATCAGTGCAGTGTATGTTCTCAAATCTGGAGTGATGCCTCTCTCTAGCATTTCCCCAGCAAACCTTTTGCACAAATCTAGTCTACCAAGCCTTCGCAGGCAGTTTATTAGTGTATTGTATGTCACAATGTCAGGAAAATGCCCAAGTTCTTCCATTAGCTTCACCTCACGAAGCATTTGGTCCACCCGACCAGCTTTCCCTAGCATGTCCAAAACAGTGTTGAACGTGACAACATCCAAGCTGGTCTGATATTTCTTCAACTCTTCAAAAATGACCAAACTTTTATCAATGTGTCCGTATTGAGCTGTGGCGAAGATAATGCGATTCATAACTGTAGGATCTCTTTGATGTGTGATTTCCAAAAGTTCTCTTACAAATTTGAGTATCAATTCACAGTCATCCAACTTCTGGAGGGCCTTTGCAACATTCATATATGAAGTCGAATCAGGAGCAAGTTTTGAAAGCAGAAGGTACCTGAATACCTTGGCAAAAAGAGCAAAGCTGTTTGCTTCAGCTGTGTGTTGCAGCAACATATTAAAGGTGTGCAGGCCGACATGGATCTGCTCGTCATGCAGTTGTCGAAGAACACGAACAGCATCAACAAGATTGCCAGATCTGCAGAGGTTCTTGACATGAGCAGCAGACGGTGATGCATCTGAAGCACCACTACTAGCACTGGTTGAGCAGCACCGCTTAAATGCCTGACTGACCCTATCATCATCGGTGTTATCTGAACCACACTGTTGGAGGCAACGCACAGTCATGGGTGAATTAGTGCGTGCAGTGGGCTGTTCCACGAGCATCAAATACCCCTGGATATAAATATGGAAGAAACTTATGAGATCATTTCACCATTTTGGGTACCGGCTACACAATTCAAACAGCACAGGTGAAAAGAAAAAAAAGAACACATTCAAATGTTCAACCGAACCAAGGATTAGGTCCTGGTTCCTAACAAAAGACACTAATTAGCTGAGACCACTAACGGTCTACTAGATAATCTGCCACAGGGATCTTAATTTACGCTAAGCTCAAATTGCAAGGAACCAATCAACCCCCTCGCTGCATTAGTAATCTAGCGCTCAACCCCCCTCGCCGCGTTAGTAACCTAGCAACCGCTCGGATTCAAGTGAGGCTGTACTTGATTCTCGAATTCGTGACAGGTCCACGCTAACAAAACACCACGACAAAATTTCTTTTGCTGAAATCACAAAAATTAGGGGAAGCCGGGAAGGGCAGTACCGGAGCGGAGAGGCGCGCGGTGGCGGCGAGCGAGCGTCGGAGTCGGAGGAGCGCCGCGGCCGGAGGGAGCCGCCACATCTGAGTGGGAAAAGGAGTCTACCTCGCGCCGCCAAGGCCATCAGACGGGCAGCGGGAGGGCATCCGCGGTGCTCTCTCCTCTGGGGTTTATCGGGGTTTGGGGGGGCGCGGTCACGCGACGCAAATCAGGTATTCGAGGAAATGCCTCCGAATCCGAAGATCGTAAACGATCGTAAATTTCCGGTAACAGTGTTTTTCTCTCGCACGACGATACGGCCGCCTGAACAGGGCTGTGAAAGGCCCGTCAGCCGTGCCGTGAGCCCGTGAGGTACATGCAGGTGTGGCCGTGTGGCCGTGTGGGCGTCAGGACGCAGGGCTGGAACTGAAACGTGACAACGTGGGTGACCCAGGTCGAGTACCGGTCCGGTTTGAAGCATAGTCGTATTTTTTTCTTCTAACTAATAAAAACATTAAAAAGCAATAGTCAAATTACAAGTGGTATATTTAGAGATATCTACTGGTTAGCCTCGAAAACGCTCAAACACAGAAAAAAATTTGTATGGAAACTGTATGCGGCATGGCACCGTGCATACTCGGCTCCGCTCGGCTGGAATTGAAGCACGACTCACCCATACGTTTCCAAGTGTTAAATCACCGATCCTGATTTTTTTATCGACAAATCAGGAACCGCTACAAACTGTGCAGATCAGCAGCGGAGACATGCGTCAGCCACCGACTTTACGTATGCACGGTGCTACGCTGCATACAGTTTCTATGTAATTTTTTTCCTCAAACACAAAAGTTTCCAACTGCCACCAACAGGTCTAAATCGGTGCCCTTCCATGGCCACCACCACCGGTTGGCGTGCGGCAGCGATGGCCCCAGATGGTGTCTAAAAAATGTCTTCGTCGTATCCATTGTGCCTCTTATCTCTTTGTTGATATATGCCATCAACAACAATTCTAGTAGAAGGCAATCTCGATCTTTTTGGTTGAGTATCGACGATCAGGTTAGGCTGGTCGTGGCCGGATGTACGGTATGGCATCCCTACAAGCTGGTTCTAGTGGGCGGCACCTACCTTTGGTTATTCAACGACGATCCTAGTTGGTTCTATGGACAATGTTGGTGAGGAATTATCTTTCACTTGCCTCACTTAAGGCATCATCGATGCCTCTACTCACTTCTTGTTGTGCAATGATGGTGTCTTCGGATGTCATTCTCTCCTTGGAGACCTTGCCCTATGAGCTTGGGTTTTTGTGATGATAGAGATGTAATGTTAGTCATTGTTCAATGGTTTTTTTATCTTCCACCATGGGAAACAAACTTGCTATCGCCGGATTCGTTATCTAGTGTCTCCAATTATGGTTAGTGTCTCTACTGGATTTATAATGCCCTCTTTGTTGGGGTGTGGTGTTGGTTTCTCATTTTGGTCATAGCTCAGTCAACAATTTCCTCGTTCGGCTTACCCAGAAGCCGGCTTGTTCGGCTTCTTTTTTAGTTGGAACAGTGTTTTTCTCTCACAACAATTCAGCCAGAACAGTGTTTTCAGCCAGTTTTAGCCAAAATTCAGCAAGCCGAACGAGGCCTTGGAGTTGTTGTTGTTCATCTGGCTCAAGCTTCTCTGCTTTCATCTGTATTTGTGGTGAGATTGACTCTTTTGGAGGAGATGTTGTAAAAAAAAGGGTAAAGGTTTAACTGTACGACGAGCATGTTGGAGATGTTGTTATTGTTTTTGGTAATGCTCCTGTTTGGTCATCCGTCCGTCCGGACGGGCCCTGCCCACGTCACCCGCTCGTGGAACGGACCCGCCCGCGTCGCCCATGTATGCATCACTCGCTCACTATGCGGCGTTTGCGCACTGCGCGCCCCTGCTCACAGGACAAATCCTGCTCTCCCCCGCGTCGCCCCCGCTGCGCACCCCTGCTCGCGAGACAGATCTCGCCCTCCCCCGCGCCGCCCCCGCTCGTACTCGCGCCTCCCGTTGCGGCCGCGCTCCATCCGCTTGCCAGGCCCTGCCGAGGTCCGTGCCGCCAACAAACTCCACACTGGCAACCTTCGCGCCACTCCGTAGCATCGAGCTTCATGCCGGCGTCGAGCTCCGCGCCGACGAGCCTCCATTTTCGTCCAAGCAGTAAGTAAATGTTGCGCTTGAAAGCGCATGTTGCAAGCGTCTATTTCAAGTGTTTGAGATATTTCAAAGGTATAGTGTAAGTGTTTCATATAGATGTTGCAAAAATAGATCGACATGTTTCATATGTTGCAATGGTTGTACACGTATGTTGCAAGCTTTTGTTCCTAATGTTTTGTCTTTTTTTCAGACGTATGTTGCAAGTGTGTTCATCTAGATATTGCATATGTTTCACATATATGTTTGCAAGTGTTTTATCTGGATGTTGTATATGTTTTTTAATGGTTTCAAGTGTTTTTAGGTGTTTTTGCAAGTATTTTGCAGATGCATGTTTCAAGTGTTTCATCGGCCTTCAGACATATGTTGCAAGTGTTGCATCTGAATGTTTTAAAAGCAGATCAAGTGTTGCATTTCGCTCCTCGCCTTCAGCTGCCTTGCCTCGGTGTCTCCTCATCCCCCGGCGCCGACTAGGCATCCGTCGGCTTCTCCCTCTCTTCTAGATGATGGTGATGTTCGGGACGGTGCGGACCCCACATGAGGGTGTAAAAAAAGGGCGTGAAAAATGACTGGCGTCCGGACGTACGGGCCGGTTTGTTTTTTTCATCCACGGGATGACTCAACCTTGAATAATTTTTTAACATTATCTAAAAATTTGCTATTTAGGGTTTTTAGCAGATTGAACTCAGAACTCTGCCATCCGTGCAAGTGTCAGATTAACAACGCTGACTTGGTCATTCCATCATTGTATGCAACCATGCATAGCTCCTTGCCGGTCACCAAGCCACGCTACAGAAACTCGCGCGCCTGAAAACGCGGCCAGAGGTCGTTACCAAATAACGGCCATGACACACCCACCGCTCCCGGCCCGCGGAACGGGAGCCCCGGAAAGAGCTCGTCGTCGCCTAGGAGCTCGCTCCACCCAAGAAACGGTGCGCAGAGCGGCAGGTCAGGCTCCTCCCCCGTCCGCGTGCGACCGCGCGCGACGTCTTGGTGATCGATGGCGTACCATCGGAAGCAGGGCATCCAGCGGTCGGCCACGTTCGTGGAGGACCACCGCCAGACGTCGTCGGGCGGCTCCGCGTCGCCGGCCATCGCGTCCCCGCGCGCCACGCGGTTCGCGGACGACAGCCGCCGCCCCGACCGCTCCTCTCGCCTGGCCGCGCAGGCCATGGTGGCCTCGTCCGCCGCGCGCGCGGACCTAACGCTGCCTTCCTTCGGCGAGCGCTTCCCGGCCTCCTCGGCGGCGGCGGCGTCCCAGTGCAACGCCGAGCCGAGTAGCCCGGTGCAGGTGCGCTCCGTTCTCCCCTCCTTCCTTGCACTCGTCTCCTAGGATCACCTGTGCCTCTGAACTCTGATCAAGAATTGCCGACGCCGTTGCTCCAATCAAACTGAAAAACTTGTGCCATTTTGCAATTCCAAGTAATTGTTCTTGTGCAAACAAGATCACACCCTGTCCCTGAACGATCTGCTTGTTCAACAATTGTAGGACCCAGTCACCCAGCTCTACACATCGACAACGAGCCTAAACGACGAGGGGCCGAAGTACGACATCGAGCTATCCAAGAAAGACCACACGAAGCATGGGTTCTGGGCGCTCGTGGCTCAGAAAGCCAAAGTCATGCTCGACGAAAACGGCACACCACGCGCTCAGACTCAGGTAAGAACTAACTCTGAAACCAAAAGGGGACGGACGAAAGAGTCATCAGGCGCATTCACGTGATCCTTTTGCCAGTTCATTACATGCTGCGTGTTCGTCCACTTCAGTTTTAACTTTCCCATGGAAATTTCCAGACCTCTGAATCTCGCTGGTCCTACGATCGGGTCGGAAGCTCCGAGAGCCAGAGCCCCACGTCACGGAGAGGATCGTTGGAAGGGAAGCTAGACATCGGAGGGAAGATCAAGGACGTTCTTGAAGTGAGTTCACTGATAAATAAATTCCACAGTTTCAGGCTTTCAGTGCGCACATTTCATTTGTTAACATTCTTGCCTGATGAATGAGACATTGTTTCGTTGCAGCAGGAGGGCCTGGCGGTGGCCGACAGCACAACGTCCGGCGGCACCCACGGCGGTGTCGTGGCTGTCCGGAAGCTGCAGATCAGGAGGAAGGCGTGCAGCATGGACTTCCGGGCGGCGAACCTGACCCCGGCCAGCCCCGACATGTCGCCGATGCTGGCCGACACGGAGTCGCCTCAGATCAAGGCCTCTCGCGACGTAAGGTGCCCTCCCGTTTTGCGCGGTAGCCATTAGGTGGAGGATGCTGCGACCGCTAGTTTTAGTTTCTTTGCCGCGACGACGACGACGTTAGAAGCGCGCAATACTTTCTGCCGCCTGCGAATACGAAAGAAGAGCTCCCACATTGGCATGTGCATGTGCCCCTCAGGTAGCGAACGCCATGGCCGCCAAGGTGAAGCTGCTGCAGCGGGAGCTCAAGACGTTGAAGGCCGACCTGGCCTTCTCCAAGGAGCGGTGCGCGCAGCTGGAGGAGGAGAATCGGCTGCTCCGGGACGGCAACCACGATGCCGACGCCGACGAGGACCTGGTACGTGCCCGATCGACCGGCCTCTGCAACCAGTCGGCAAACGTAACGGTGAGGTGAAAGTGAAATGCTCACATCCCATTCCTGCCGTCGCTCGTGTTACTGTCACAGATACGGCAGCAGCTGGAGACGCTGCTCGCGGAGAAGGCGCGGCTGGCGCACGAGAACACGGTGTACGCCCGCGAGAACTGGTTCCTGCGGGAGATCGTCGAGTACCACCAGCTCAACATGCAGGACGTCGTCAACCTTGACGACGACGACATCGAGGAAGAAGATGATTACGACGTTGACGCCGACGATGACGAGGATGCGGAGCTGGAGGCTGAGCAGCACCACGATCGCCGCAAGTCCCTGCCGTCCCAGATTGTGATGGAGGAAGAGGAGCACCAGGCGGCC